AAAGTGGACTCAATTTGCACTACATCTGGCAGTCTGCAAAGGCCCTTAATTTCAGCACAGTGGATGAATGCAAGGAATAATTTAAATGTAGATTCAGTCAAGGGTTTGTTGCAAATAAAGTACAATTACAAGCCTTTGTCTTGCTCAGAGATCTGTAAATATATTGTAAGCCAACAAGGCATTTTAACCAACATAAGTTCATCATAAAAATATGGTTGAATATGTAATAAAATACAGTATATGTATGACAGCCATCATGGTTTGGTGGTTTGAGTGTTGGACTATAACTCTGGAGACCAGGGTTTAATCCTAGATCAGCCATTTCCAATAAGGTGGAAATGACTTCAAGGTGCACAACAGCAGTATACCTGTAAATAATCCATAGGAAATGAATTTGTATCAGGTTTTTTTAGCTTTTATTTTGTTTGTTTTTAGCTTTTATTTTCCTGGGGTGTCCTACATTTTGTGGTGCCTTGTGCTCCTTTGTGGTTAGGACACCTGGTCACCCTGCCTTTGTTTCTCTCTCCTCCTGCTCTATGGCACAGCAATGGCCCATTGAGATTTGCCACTGCTGGCGGAAGAAGGTATTGATCTACCTGCATGGAGATCTGCACACACCGTCTGGGTTCTTGGCTATGTGTATCTTTGCACAAATTTTGCCCAATGAAATCTTGTAGTCCAAAGAATCTTGTGGCTGCTCTCCTTTTCCCCAGTGTGATGTTTCTAGTGTTGAGATACCCTTTGGTTGAATGGACATGAATGATATTGATGAATATCCTGCACATCCCAACTTACAAATATGTTTTCCTACAACAAAATCACCCCCCCCAAAAAAAAACCCTTTTCAAAGATTACTTGCACACTTCCTCTGTCATCTCTCTGTGTAGCAACAGTGATGTGTGGTTGTTATGTATCTGTGTCCTTTAAAATTGGTGCATGATTTCTCTCTTGTATTATTTACATCTTGTGTTTCCTCCAATGAGCTTTCCTCTAGTTCCTCACTTTATCGTCACAGCAACCCTGTGAGGGTAGATTTGGCTGAGAAAGAATGGCTAGCTCAAGGTCAACCCATCAGCTTTAGGTTTCAATTAGGACCATTAGCAATATTCCAAGTTTCACTCCATCAAACCCTACAACATTCCATATATGAAAACTGGGACACATGTGGTTAAGGAACATCAGAGTGTCATCAAGTGTGCAAAAGTTATTAATGAGGAGAAACACACAAGCTAAGAGAGGCTGCAGCAGTTTGCTTTTGTCTGAGCCTACTGGGAAGGTCAAGATTCTGCTCCCTCCTCTCCTCCCTACTGAGTTAATTGAGTACAAATTATTTCAGCACTTTAATGGAAGCAAGCTGAGGACAGAGGAGGAAGGTGGGAGGAGGAGAGAGAAACTGAGACTTTTTAAAACCAGCTGAAAAAGTGAGAGGACAGAGGATTAATTGAGAGTGTCCCTGCCCAATTGGTATATATGGAGATTATGATCAGCAATTCTAGTCGCCACTCCACGCTAGCTTTGATTTCCACAAGTTTGACATGTTTGACAGTGTCAAACATGATACTTTCTTGATTCACGTGCTTGACTTTGATGGGTTGTGACTGGAACCTCATTGCTTTTGGAGGAGGCATCTTTGATGAGAGAAGTCCATTGCCACTGAGCAGCAGCCAGAGCAGGGAAGGAGACATGGCCTTAGAGCATCATAAAACAGAGACAATGAGAGACCAGGGCAATGTGCCCCCTGCAGCAGAGCCCTTGGGTTGGCACAGTTGGTGGACAGGGTACAGTGTCCTCTGAGAGGCCAGGCCAGGACTTGATTCAGATCTTCATAAAGCTGTCAAGCTCCCTAACAGCCCATCCCTGTTTCTCAACCTGTCAGGGTTGTTGCACAGATAACTTTGCAGGAGGGCAGAACTATGTATGCCATCTTGGCCACTTTAGAAGAAAGGTGGGCTATGGCTCAAATACATAGGTAATAGATGGATATGACAGCCAGTGTGATGTAGTGGTTTGGGCATTGGACTATGACTCTGGGGATCAGGGTTCAAATCCCTGCTTGAGCCCACTGGGTGACCTTGGGCAAGTCACACACTTTCAGCCTCAGTGGAAGTCAAGGGCCAAGAAACTGAAGAAACTTGCCAAGAAAACCCTGTGATAGGTTTGCCTTAGGGTCACCATAAGTAAAAAATGACTTGGAGACACACAAAAACTATTACAAAACAGATGGACAGAGGGATGGATAAATAAATAGGTAGATGGATGGATGGAAAGATAGATATAAATGACTCAGTTTTCCAAAGGTTTTTGTGGGTTTTTCGGGCTGTGAGGCCGTGTTCTAGAAGAATGTATTCCTGATGTTTTGCCTGCATCTGTGGATGGCATCTTCAGAGAATCTTTCATCTTTCTCTGAAGATGCCAGCCACAGATGTAGGTGAAACGTCAGGAATATATTCTTCTAGAATACAACCTCACAGCCCAAAAAACCCACAAAAACCTATGAATGCCAGCCGTGAAAGCCTTCGACTTCACATCTGTTGTCAAACTTTGCCTCATTGCAGGGCTGCCCTTCTTTCTAAGACACCTGACATGATTGTTAATATATAATATGGCTTTTTAATAGGTGTTTAACTTTTAATTGAAAGTTTTCATTGGATTGCTGTTAAACACTTTTTAAATGTTTGTACTACAGATTGTTTTAGTTATTAGCTATTCTGTTTGGACTTGCAAAGTAAACCTCTTTGGATGAAAATCAGGTTATAACTCAACTCCAATCAATCAATCAATCATGATGCTCTTTTTGACAACTGTCATAAAGACCCCACCCAGCATGTCAGCATCCTGGATGCAGGCATTTTTTGCCTGTGCAAAGCTTTCTGCCAACCCTTTAGCTGAAATAAGAAATCATCTGCAGAGCTTCTCCCCATCCGCTCTCTCTCTCTCCACACTCTTTCTATACACCATTGGAGTCAATTTAGACCCTTGGGAGTCCTCCAGCCTACCGGCTGGATTCTTAAGGTTTTTCTGCTTTGCGTAATTATTTTTATGAGCTTCTGAGGAGGGAAGTGCCAAGGAAACAAGAGTTAACTAACAGAAACAGAATAGCGGAATTTCCTGCTGGCTGCTGTTAATTATGGCAAGGGCTCCCCAGGAGTGCAGTGGTTGTGGAACAGGAGGGCTCAGCAGGGGACAGATTCCCAGAGGAGCATCTCCAAGCGCCATCTGGACTCTGCATAGGCACATCCTTTCCCTCATTCTGGCACACACACACCCAGGATCATTGGACTACAGCCCCTCTCATTCCTGAGGGAGATGGGGATGATGGGGTTGCAATCCAACACATCTGGAGGACTAATTTAGTCAGTGAAGCTAGGTAGGGTGGGCGTGAACTCTGCAGAGAGAGGTCTACCACTGGGGAACGATTATCACAAGGTCTTTGCCTCTGGGAGCCAGCTACCTCTATTTGGATGGCATGCCTTCCATCTGTCCCAGTTTGGCAGAGACAGTCCTGATTTATCCTCTGTTATCACACTTTTTCAGCTGCTTTTAAGACTTTCCAGTTTCTCTCTCCATTTTACCCATTTATTTGTTGTTGATGTGTGCCTTCAAGTCACTTCCAGCTTATGGCAATCCTGTCATGAGGTTATGGTGACCCTAAGGCAATCCTATCCTGGGGCAAGATTTGTTTAGAGAAGGTTTGCCATTGCATTCCTCTGAGGCTGAGACAGTGTGACTTGTCCAAGGACACCCAGTGGATTTCATTGCTGAACGGGGAACTGAACCTTGGTCTCCAGGGTCACAGTCCACAGCATAAACCACTATGCCTTTAAGCTTATGTTTAAAACTTGCTTTCCTAACAAAGGCATAGTTTGCTCTAGGTGATGTTTGATTTGAGATTGAGCCACCTTAAAATCAGATGGGACTGAGAGCAAAACAGAGTGGCAAATTGTCAGAAAGGGGTTAAAATTAGGAGTGTACATTTTGTTCTTAACACATGAATCAAATGAACATTTAATCCAGGGCCTAAATACCTTCAAAGCTCCAAATCCTGATCTAATCTTGGAAGCTAAGCAGGGACAACCCTGGTTAGTACCTGGTACTACTTGGTTAGTAGTAGACCAACAATGAATACCAGGTGCTCCAGGCTGTATTTCAGAGGAAGGAATAGGCAAAGCTACCTCTGAGTATTCCTTGCCTAAGAAAACCATATGAAATGTATGGGGTCACCATGAGTTGACGGGTGACTTGAAGACACATACACACACAGAGGGAACCTGTGGCTTACCTGGTTGGATTGAACTACATCTCCCATCAGGTCTCACTTCCAAAGCTATCATTTTAGATTTCAGTGGCAGAGAGGCTGAATGGTAGGTTGTAGTGAAGTTTAAAAGAGCTATGGGCAGGTGGCAAGTGGCCACTGAACCCCAATTTTATGGCCCCCAAAGCCAGGTAAATTCCCTAGATTAAAAAAAGATCTGGTTGATTTTCAGCTGATTTTATTTCTCAGAATTGCCAAAAAAAAATGCACACTGATGCAGCAACCTTCCCTATTCACTTCAGTCTTCCAAGACCTGCAGGGCATTTTAAAGCCAAAAATGGTGATCAGAAGTGATGCTGTGGCTCACAGAGGTGATAAACAGCCACATACCTAGTTTAACGGGCACCTCTAAAGCAAAATCATATTCAGGCAGAAGTGCAGTTTATACTAATGACAGACTAAGAGAGACAATTGGATTCTATGCACAGGTCTAGCAAAGGGATTTGTGTCTTTTCCAGAGCTTGGAAATGTTGTTATTTGTACTAGAACACCCAGACAGTTTAGCCAACATACATACTGGGAGATGTAATCCAAAAATATATACAGAGAGCACACAACTCCCTTGTGAAGACAGCTATGTAGGCTGCCTGTCTGTTTCCAGGCACAATTCAAAGTGTTGGTTTTGACATGTAAAATTCTATATGTCTTGGGTCCAGGTTTTTTGAAGGACTGTTTCTCCCTTTATGATCCCACTAGAGCACTGAGATTTAAATTTGTATTGCTTTAAATACCAGTATATTCTTTGCTGCCTGTATTGAGAGAAAGGCAGAATATAAGTGAATAAAGCAATAACAACAACAAAAAACAGATTACCTTTTCCATGCTTAGAAAACACATTAAAACAATGTGAGAAAAAATTGTGAGTTGACCTGGAATAGTCATGTTCTTAATAATAAAGCACATGTAGCCTGAAATCTAGGGGAGAAACATAGGCCAGAATGCTATGAAACGGACATATGCTTTGACCATGGGCATCATTGGCATTCAGGGAAAAAATAGGCTAACAATAGATTGGACAGATGGTCATACCCAGGTGTGACTTGAGAGCAAAGGAAGCAACCACAGGGTGAGAAGGGAGCTCACATAGATAATATCCGAAATGTGATTTTGGAGACTCTGGCTGATAGCTCTACTTTGTTTATTTTGTTGTTGTTTTATATGCCTTCAAGTTGCAGATTTATGACAACCTGATCATGGAATTATCTGGGTAAGATTTGGTCAGAGGCAGGATCTTTGCCTTCCTCTGAGGCTACAAGACAATGACTTGCCTTAGGTCACACTGTTTCAAACCTTGGTTTCCAGAGTTGCAGTCCAGTCCTCAAACCACCACACCACATTGGCTCTGTTGTTTTTTGTTTACTTGTCTGTCTATAACAGATATTTCCTCATAGATGGGAACCACCTTCCATGAAAGCCAGCGCAGTGTAGTAGTTTGAGCATTGGACTATGGGGAGCAGGGTTCAAATCCTCACTTGGCCATGAAAACCCACTAGGTGACCTTGGGTAAGTCACAGTCTCTCAGCCTCAAAGTGCTGTGACAGAAGAGAGTTATTTCAGTGCTGAAAACTTACACATTTCTGCTATAAGATAAGCTTTATGTGTGGTAAATGATGCAGCAGGTGATAAAGAGCAGAGAGGCATTCCAGACCTTTTGGTGTCAGGATCCCCCTCGTAGCCAATGGCAAAATTATTGTACCCAGATTTCTGTGGCTGGTAACTAAATTCAGTCTCCATCACTGTTATATGAGCCCCACTTAGCTGGTGTGAATCCCCATCTTGCAAGGCCAATGGAAGATGGACTACAAAGGGTTATATACTTTAGAAATAAATAAATAAAATAAAAGTGTACAAACTTGACCCATCTCTATCCAACCAATACCTACAAGAGTTGTGCAAACACGTTAGCTAGCAACAGACAAATAAAATAAAATAAAATCATTTGCTCAGTCTGTTCTCGGTTTTTGTATCATTTCCTAACCTTGAATTGCCAAGCTAACATGAAAAATATCCAATAAGGTTATGAATGCGAGTTGACTCTTTCATTTTGGCTATCATGATAACAAGAACTCCAAACTGCATCTGCTTAGTAGCATAGACCAAACTTGCTCCAACATTATGTATTATATAAAAATCAAGTAGGGATGTTACATGTTGCTATGTTACTTTGTTTATATCCCTCTTTTTCCTCCCAAGTCTGGGGCTCAAGGTAGCGTACAGTTAAAAAGGAATATGTGTAAAACTGCATGTAGCCAAAAACACTTCTTCCTCCCGAAAATCAAGATTACAATAATAATAAACTATCTGTACATGGTAAGCATTGGACTATGTCTCTGGAGATCAGGGTTCGAATCCCAGCTCAGCCATGTAAACCCACTGGACAAGTCATACTCTCTCATACTCAGAGGCTGGCAATGGCAAACCTCCTCTGAAGAAACCTGCAAGAAACACCCATGATAGGTTTGCCTTAGGGTTGCCTAAGTTGAAAATGAGTTAAAACATTAAAAGCTTAACATAAAAGTAGTACAGCACACTAATACTGTAAAACAACCAGTTCCCAGCTGGAATAGAAGGGAACTCTGGTGGTGCTGTGGTTAAATGCCTATACTGCAGCCACAAGGTTGTGAGTTCAATCCCAGGCAGGGCTCCAAGGTCCACTCAGTCTTGCATCCTTGTAGGTCACTAAAATGAGTACTCAGCTTGTTGGGGGCAATTAGCTCACACATTGTAAACCACTTAGGGAGTGCTTAG